ATAGTTCACATCTGCCATGACCACAGCTGCCGCAGAGAGTTGTATCTGTCGTTTACTGCTCAAGAGCACTTGGCAGTGAGGGTAAATGGGGCTTAAAGCCTCCCACACTCTGGGATTAAGCCACGTGCTCCAGAGTGGAGCTGCCTCTTATCTGGAGGGAGAGGAGACATCTTTTTATTCTTTGCTCACAATTATGGTGTTGTTTTACCTGATGGCATCCACTTAACCGCAAATATTACAGAAAGGTGAAGATTCCAGCTTTCATTCTGTTAACCCCGTAAACACATTTTTACTTGACATCACTTCTTATATGCCCTGGTTTCTTATTCATTTCTTTGTTTGGAGAAACAAAGTCTATACTGCTTAGCGCTATGGTGATCTCTCCTCTTGGCTTTGACAAAGTGATGCATGAATAAATTATTAATCCTCTGGAATCCCATTTTGACAAAGTGAGTGACCTAGACATTATGTGTTCTCCCTAAGAGACTGATATTGAGATCTGCTGTGAGATGTTTGAACTTATATAACAGCCGAGTAAGGGCTTGAAACAAATGAACAAGGTGAAGACCTTCACTCGTCTGTAGTTCATAGGGAAGAGAATGGTCTGAGGAGGGTCTTGCCTAAAAGGAAAATTCCTTCATGCTGATTCTTCATCAAAAGCTCTCTGGAATAGTGCATTTCATGCAGATTTGAGACACAGGCTGGCGTGGCTCAGGTTCCCAGTGTCCAGCTGTTGGCTATCTGACTGCTGGGATTGATGTGACTTTGGGAACTCCTACCAGATTGTGTCTAGATGCTATTTTAAGTCACTTTTAACCTCTCTGGTTTGCAATAGAAAACCAACTAAAGAACAATTGAAAATACTGCTCTATGCTGAGATGTAAGAGGCTGGAAAAAGCCAATAGAGAGACTTACAAAGAAAACTGGCTTGAAATTCTACTTAAAAGGAACTAAATTTCACTGGGACTGAAATCCCAGATGTGTAAGCTTCCAAAAGGACCTCCAATAGCATAGTGTACAGCCAAGCCTCTTTCATTTGTGGCTAAATCTCTGAAGCCAAGGGGTGTGCATCTAAAATCTGCTTAGAGTTGAAATATCACAAGTGATTTATTATTAATATTTGAAAAAGAAAGAAAAATCCCTCTAACCTGCAAATTTCTGTCAATGCACCAATTAGTTTCAAAATCATCGTCATCTTCTCCAAAAGGGTTGATAAGCTGCTCAGCTACCTGTAGTTGAAAAGATAAAATAAACCCATCATGATGCCTCTGAAGACTAAGAATAGAGACTGAAGATGATTCCAGTTTTCCTCTCTGCCTCCTTTTGTGACTTTCAAAATATGAAGAGTAGAGGGGAGTAGATTGTTCTACCCAGATACTTATTAGCAAGCAAGACGTGATTCGCAAATCACCAATGATGCACCTTCACATGTATGCTCTCCAAAGGGATCTGAACATTCAACCAGCGGCAATGCAGGCCCTATCAGGGGAAGCCATGTCCTATTTAGGAGCCAAATCGAATGACTGAATAGTGAAGGAGCACCAACAATTTGCAAGGCACTCTGAAGGATACACAGGCTATGCTTCCAGGGAATTTACAGGGCCCAGATGATAAGACAAAATGTACACAGGGAGAAGGTTAAACAGCGAAGGAAGACTTAAATCACAATTAAAGAAAATAATATAAGAGGCTTTCACTATTTTATTTATTTATTTATTTATTTATTTAGAGACTGTGTCTTGCTCTGTTACCTAGGCTGGAGTGCAGTGGCACAATCTGGGCTCACTGTAACCTATGCCTCCCAGGTTCCAGCAATCTCCTGCCTCAGCCTCCTGAGTAGCTGGGACTACAGGCAAGCACCATCACATCCAGCTAATTTTTTATTTTTTTCAGTAGAGATGGGGTTTCACCATGTTGACCAGGCTGGTCTTGAACATCTGAGCTCAGGTATTCTGCCCTCCTCAGCCTCCCAAAGTGTTGGGATTACAGGTATGAGCCACTGTGCCTGGCCGAACTTTCAAATTACTGAACATAATTGCTAAGTAAATGAGTCAGAGAGCTAGTAAGTCCTAAAGCTGGAAATTGAGGCTTGCCTAGTTTCACCCTAAAGGATTTACCCTTATCTAGTAAGTTAGTTTTCCTGCCGGGAAAAGGTTAGGTAGCTATTATTACATATATTTTAATATTTGATCAATATTATCTGTCGTTTCTTGCCTGGAGATTTGCATAGATTAATTAAGGGTACTGATTGAGTCCTGAAATCTTTTTGAATTCTATCTAGATTTTCATTTTTATACGATCAATCCTGCGTGTTTTATCATAGTCTGCATTAAATTGACAAAATGGCATGCATGTTTCTGAATTGACAATCTCAAAATATATCTTTTTCTTCACTGGGGGCTACATTTTCAGCAAGTAACTGAGTAATATACTATTCACAAGGTTAAGATGCTTTTCTACATGTTGAAAAGATTTATAAATATCCTAATTGTTGAGATAGAAAAGCTGTTTAGAAATGGAGGCACAGTCCACTGGTGTTTAGGTTT